CTGGGATGGATTGGTGAGCTGCATTGTCAATGCAACTCATTAAAAAATTGTACTTTTCACTAGCATTTAAAGCATGAGGTGGATTATCATTTATATATGTTTCAATTAATTGTGTGTATAAAGGCCAATTTGCTTTCTTTAAATTCCATTTACTTTTAGGGTAAATTATATCATTATTTTTTTCTGTATTTTCGATGTCTATTTTAATAACGAAGTGATTTGATCCTAATGTATCTACATCTACCGCCCAGTTGGTTTTATTAAATATTTGTGGTGTTCTATACAATATTTTCCTAAAATGGTCCGTATTCGAGAAATTTGACAAAATGCAAAAAAAAATATTTTTTCATAAAAATTGTTCTAATAAAAGTTGTTTGTAATATAATTCTCTATAATTTTTACTCAATACATAATTTTTTTAAAATGGACCGTATTCGAGATATTTGAGAAAATGTGTAAATTTCGAATTTTGAAGAAAACTCAAAAGCGGATAAAGAAAAAATCATTAAATTTTAAACTTAAGGTTTATTTCGGCCTGACGTGAAATGATTAGATTTTGGACAAAGTCGGAACATCTAGGGGGTACTTTATGGGAGGCCGTTTTTATATTTTATGGAATATATCTGTTATTTATGTTTGGAGAAGAAAATTGTTCAAATAAAAGTTACTTCAATATTATTATCTATAATTTTTGTTTTATGTCAAAATTTCTTGAAATGGTCCGTATTCGAGAAATTTGACAAAATGTGCAAAATTCTGATTTTTATGAAAATTGTTGAACTAAAAGTTGTTTGCGATATCGATCTCTATAATTTTTCTTTATACATGATTTTTATAAAATGGACCGTAATGGAAAAGTGCTAAATTTAAATTTTTCAGTATTTTCGTTTTCAATGAATATCTATAGAAAAATGTTTCGAGGTAGATGTATGTGGACAATGTATATATTTAGTTTATCCTCTAAAATTTATAGAGATGCTGCAATAGGTTGTACAAAATAACCGGAAAAAGCCTACAATAACTAGAGAGGAAAGTCATGTGTTGGACACATCAGATTTTTTGCCTTACAAAACTAACTTTCATATTGCCTAAGATAATATAGGTAACCAAATAATTAACATAGTTTTACAGATCGACAATAATACTAAATGCCACTAAATGAGCCAACTTGAAACATGACAGAAAATTATTTACGCCGCGATTAGTATTATACAGTGTGGAACAACCAAATGTAATAAATTCGGTAATAAATAAATGGGGACGTTCGGAAAAACGCTCGGACACGTCGATTGGTATTTTTAGTTGCGCATTTTTTTTAATAAAAACTTTTTATACAGGGTGTGTCATGTAACAGTGGCCAATACCAACTTTTTCAATTTCAATTTTTGGATTCCTCAAAAAATTCTAGATATATTTTATGTACTATGTCCTATACCTAACTGTTTCGGAACTATTAAATGTTTTTCGATTTATTGCAAAAATTAACATTAACAAAATAAAATTATTTGATTACAGAAATTCACTACAACACACTCAATACTTATTTCTCATTTAGGTCTTGATAATGAGAAAGTAAACAAAAAACCATTCCAGCTATACTTAAATAGTTTTGTTCACTTTTGTTTAAAACGCCTGACCTTAGCAAATTGTTATCTGACTGCATGACAGTAGTTGTTGTAAAAATCCCAGTGGAAAATAATAAATGTTGAGTATGAAAAGGTATATATATATTTACTGACTTTTACAAAATTATCTGGCACGTTGAGTAGGTACTTGATTTTCGTTCTTTTTTTTATTTCATTAGTAACTAAGTACTGACTACCTTAATCGGTACTAATTAATATTTTGTTCAATACCTTAACAGTTGTCAGTGTTATAGTCGTATGAATTTTCTTAACTACATATCATAAAAATGATTCATTTAACAGAAATGCACAAAATAACACTTATACAGATGATTGTTTATGGAGATAACACAAGGACATAAATGGAAGTTGCTCGCTTATTTCATGAAAAATTTCCAAATTTGCCGCATAAATCCTAAGGGAGAATTAGTAAAATAAAAGAGCAGTTTGTGAGCTTGGACATGTAAGGCAGATAAAAACAGCTCTCAATGCAGTAACTAATTATACCAAATATTATGCTTGAGTCTCAGGAAAACCCACTTTCATCGATTATTCGAACATTAAAACAAAATAAAATGCATCCCTATAAAATAATAGCACATCAGGAGCTCATGTAATACGATTTTAATAGGAGAACGCAACTTTGTAAACAAATGATGGCAATGTTAGATAATATGGTGATCCAATTAGAACATGTTTTGTTTGCACTTTACACTTCATGGTCATGCTAATCGTCAAAATTGCCGCTATTAGTTTAGGGAAAATCCTTACTGGATGAGAGAACATAAGCAATACCCTGAAAATGTTAATGTTTAGACAGGAATTGTTGGCGATCATATCATAGGTCCCTTTTTCATTGATGCAATTTAAATGGCGATAATTATTTAGCACTGCTCCAAAATAATGTCGTGCCAACTTTAACGAACTTATATCCCGAGCCAGCAAACCCACTTGTTCCAGCGAAATATGATATGGTTTCAGTAAGTTGGACCACCGCCCCCCATTACCAAATCAGTGTCCGGCAATACCTCAATCAAGTATTTTCAAATCGGTGGATATGGAGGCGAGGATAGATGGAATGGCCAGCACGATCTGCTGATCTGACATCATTAAACTTTTTCTTATGAGGATATGTCAAAAGTATTATACAGAGTGGCCCAAAAGTCTGGAAACGGCCAATTAGCTCGTAAATTGCTAGTCCTAATTGTACAAAATTTGGGGTACACCTATTTTGGGATACGGTGATTCCAGATTTGATATTTGCAATGTTGCCAGATTTGCCGTTTCTCTTAAATTATTTATCACTTTGGTTTTTCAAATTCATGACCTTGTATATTCAGTCATTATTGGAATCTCCTATTCAATACGAGTTCAACCATATCCAATACTTATGATTTTATGTAGTCTAAAAGGTCATTTTGAACATTTCGTACATTGGACATAGTTGTACATAAAATATGTCTAGAATTTTCTGACAGGTACAGCCAAGCATTATTCTGATTTTTGCCAAATAAAATGGCCGGTTAATTATTCTATGGGGTTGCGACAGAGAGCCAGTAAATTTGATGAAGGTGTTTTTGTGGCTAGGGGCGAAATAGTAGTACGGTTAAGTTATCACTACCATAAGAAAGTTATTTTTAGAAACTGCTTGTATATTTTTTGAAGCATCCAAAATGGCTATGGTTGAAAGTATGAATTCCTAAAGTTGTCACATAAGAAATGCATATGCGGATTTTAAGAAAATTGATATTAAAGTAGTTGGGATAAATCACAAATTCTGAAAATGAATAGGGTTAGAAGTAATTATTCAAGAAAATCAGAACCGCAAGTCAATCAGAACTTTCGTTCTAGAGTTATCGTGCCGGCATACATACACACAGACGACCAGACGAAAATTTTTTTTTTCCATTTTTGGACTCAGAATGATCGGAAACATGAAAAAAAGTTTTAAAAAATGGGGGTAAGGAAATTTTTTCGTCTGCACGAATGCAATACTGAGGCCCCATACGAAGGGCCTCAGCAAGGGCCTCAGTAATTTGGAATTAAATACATATAAATTAGAATATAAGTATTAGATAAAACGGTTTTTGGTTTTAAAAAGACAATTTTAACAATAATAATATAGGGGGTGGGTTGACTAAGTGGTTAGAGTCATGACTTTGAGATTGAAGAGATTTAGGTCGATGACAGGGATTTTTATTTAATTTAATAAAATAAATATTAATTCTAATGCATAGGTAGGATTCCCCACTCGACCATTCACTGGGAAACGGTAACAAAGCCTATACCGATTACGTGGCTTAGTAGTTGATGCCGATAACTCCAAATTAAAATAATAGTAATAATATTAATGTTACTTAGAAAATTACCTTAAAAATATAATTCTAATATTTTTAACAAATGATATAGGTAGGTAAATAGTAGTCTACATCTGTAGTTCCCAAAAGTACTGAACTCTTCAACATAATTCTTTCAAATATGGAATGGAATACCTACCTATCTTCCAAACAATTAGGCAATCCAACGTCCTATCAAAGTTTGTTGACATAGCTTTTTCTTTAGTTCCTACTTAAACTAATAACCTCACTAGAAGTGTTTTTTGTTGTTTTTTCCAAACGTCCGCCATTAAAAGTCACGTGATTTTGATTGTATAATAAGAATATTTTCGAAATCTATTTTTGATTTTATCAAGGTAATATCAACAACAATAATAATAATAATAATATAACCTAAAAGATCACTAGAAAAAGCTAAAAGGTATTTAAAAAAAAGAAAATAAATAGGTAAGTAAGTAACATCATTCCTCAAAACTTGTTTTCTTGAATAAAAATTCAAATATCTTATTGGCTAAAACGGTTTTTGGTTTAATCAAGGCAATATCAACAACAATAATAATAATCTAACTTACAAAATCTATAAAAACATACACACTTAATAATTTAAAAACAGGATATACCTAGTGGTAGGTTATATAATTCCTCAAAAACTCATAACTTATATGAGTTTTTGAGAATATATATTTCTTTAGAATATAGAATGGAATATTCCAGTCACTTTAAAATATTTGCGAAAACAATTTTTGGTTTACCAAGGCAATATCAACAATAATATAACCTAAAAATTCTTATTTTAAAAAGTTAAAAAAAATAGGTAATTTCTCAAAAACTTATTATAAGAATCCCCTGAGAGTTAGATTTAAATAATATCATCGTGCAAATTAGAATATAATATATGTTATATAGCTAAAACGATTTTTGTTTTAACAAGGCAATATCAACAATAATATAACCTACAAAATCGCTACAAAGAATGTTAACATATCTTACAAAACATCGAAATAGTCACAGTAAAATTGCATTTCTTAACAAAACTCACCAGTAAATATCATTTGCACTGCTTTTGCAGCCAAGTTTCATTCACCGATTCACATTTCTATCGAAAAAATACACAGATTGCACCTGTTTCAACAACTCAACGACTCTGCTTCCGACATATTGTAAATATCGAAATATACGCGAAGTGAGAGAACGTTACGGGTTACGGTATTCGATAAAACACTGGGTTGTTCGGTGAAACCACACTGTGTAGACGATACGTTAAATATAGAAGGCACAGCGTGTTTTGGATGCACCTTTGGTACAATACCCTGCACTTGCACGCACGTCGCGTCTCCTAACAGTTACTACCGAGCCTACAGCCTACTAAGTGAGCAGTAGGCAGTCCTTTTGAATTGAATTGAAAGCTGTGCGACTGGAAGGAAGGTGTGCGTCCCCTACTTGTATAGAGGTAGATAAACCCATTGTAATGAATGATAAAACTTTATCTTTAATCGCTTTAATCGTAATTGCAAGCGTTCGGGCAAGATCCCTTGTTATCCAACACGATTATCGTTTGATTTCGGTGGAAGATTTGTTTTTTTCTATTTGAGTCGCAATTTTATTGTTGGAATAAAACTAGTGAAAGTTTCCGGTTACTGATCGTTAGCTGGTGTCGTTTTCGTGTATTAATACTTTTTGAAGTACTTGTGTGTTTATTAGAGGATTAGATTAACTAATTAGTAAATTAATGATATTATGCTGGTAATCCAGAATAAATTACAATGATCCTTTTTAGTAGAAAAATGTTTAATTTCGAACAATATACCTAATAGAATTTCCTCTTCAATTCTCCTTTGAACTTGGTTTCAAAAATATTTATTTAACATCAATGCTTGTTTTAGACTAATGAGTATATACAGAGTGGACCGAATTGCATTTGCGTGAACAGAGATTTCATTAAGTGGAAAATAAATAATGTTGGTTGAATGGGGAAAAAGTTTCATATTTATTTTGACAGATAATATATTAGTCCATAAAAGTATTAGATTTTTCGACTAGATATGGGATAAATACGAAAAAGTTGTTAGGGGAGACCGGGGTACAGGACTGCCAGAATGAAAATGACAAATCGTACTCAAAAATATTTTAAAACGTATAGAATTTTAAAAAACGTACTGAATCACCTACTTTAAAAAAGATATATTTTATGAAATGTACCAATCTCTAAATCGAACAACACATTAAAAATAGCTGGATATTTAAATTCATTAACTATTTTATAAAAAAATTTTAAACATTTATAGAAAATTTACCATATAGGAATAAATGGAGCACAAGTGAAATAAAAATGATTTTCTTGTGGTTTAACACTTTTATTAAATTATATAATCTTTATGTATAACAGAAAAAAAAGTCTTAATCCATTTTACTTTCAGAATTACAACCAACAAAGGTGCAATAAATTTCAATTTCAAATAAATTATTTGACTCATCATATTACTTAACTGTCAACTGTCATCCATCGTTAGTAAAATATGTCACTTTATTAAAAAAAAAAATGTCAAAATAGCACTGAAAATGGTACTGAATCGACTATTTTTAACATAAACGTACTAAAACTAACAACGTAACACTGACGTACTGAAAAAGTTGAAAACGTACTAAATTCAGTACAAATGTACTGAATCTGGCAGCCCTGCCGGGGTAAGTTGTAACATTTTTAAGATTTTGATTTTTTAAGTTATTTTTTATTTTTCAAAATTTCCACTGTTCATATTTTATTGTGTAAATAATTGTTAAAATTAGATGATATCGTGTTTTTAAATATATTTGAAACTCTTTGGTTGGTTTAAGAAATTATGAAAAAAATAAAGGCCCACGTTGGGCGCCAAAAATAAATGCGCTCAAGCACTTGAGGTGCCGACTAAATACAGTAAAGAAGGGGTGAGTCGTAGCACAAGTTATGTATGTGAGTGGTCGCCAGGAGTTTACTCACAGTCAACAATCCCACGTGATGGTCTACTATAAAACTTTAAATAGCCAAACTAAATGCATCTCCTCTCACTATTTACGGTCGCTAGGTGTAAAAACAAATAAAACTCTATTATTTATTAAAATCAATAGTTACCCATAAGTAATATACCCCACGAAGAGCTCTTGGTGACGTTATCGGGTTTATTAAAATGTACTGTAATTTGTACACCCCTAAACCTCGTTTACATTAGGATTAGATAAAGTTATGTACTAATACCCCCCCCAATAAACTAGAATAAAAATAGTAATATAAAAATAAGTGAGCAAAAACCGAGTCTTCTTTCTGACTGGGAAAACTCTAGTAGACGGTTGATGGCCTACTATCTCTGCTTCGTTAGCGGCATACAAATTGCACTGCCTGTCATAAAGGTATCTTGTAGCTCATCACAAGATTGCTAGCTCGTCACAAGAAATGCTAATCCGTCAAAAGCATACTAGCCTGTCACAAGAAGTACTAGCTGGCCACAAAAAATTCTAACCCGTCACAAGAACTACTGGCCCGTCACAAGAACCCTAAAAAAAAAAACGTATAAGATAAAACATAGCAATAACTATTTATCCCTGGTTAATAAAAATGTTAAAATTAAATAACCAGGTACCTACATAACCTTCTCGTAAAGCGAGCTGTAGAAATAGGTAGTAACTACTCAACGTTTACCAGTTAAATTAAAGTTCGGCTTATCAGTTTATGTAGATAATCTTCAGATTTAGAAAACAACAAGATAGACAGCTCGTGAAGCGAGTTCTATCCAACAATTACATTTAATAGGCTTTAAAATACTACCCCTTAATAGTCAATCCCATATACTGAAAATATATACAACGAAAAGAAACATAAGTTAGTGTTAATAATCATCTAGGTAAGCATGCTGACTAAAATCAAACTATATTTACCCCTTTAACAGCAATAAGGGGAAGACGAAACACCAAATCATATCAAACTGCAAATTCGTGAACAGCTTATCCAGAAAAAATTACATATATATGTGAAGACTGAAATAAAAGACGAAGGCCTATGAGATCCAAAACATGGTTAAATATATTCTCCTAAAAGCTCTTACAACATGTGGTCAACCATAAATACAACCAAATCACACACTGTTGTAGTTTTAAACAAAGGTTGTTTCGCAATATCCCAATTATGGATGGAAAGAATTCCACTAAATTTGAAACTACCTATTACTATCCACCTGCGGAAAATAAATCCCCAAATTCCAAGAAGGAAGAAGCAACGTCACTTCCAAAAACCAATAATACCAACATACCTTAGTGGCAAATAGATGTCCCCTCAGCGCCCTCTATTACGAAATAAATTCTTGACAAAAAGGGCTAAAATAACCAAACAAATGTCTAAAACGAAATAAATAGCCTAACCAAACCCCAAACAGAAGTCCTACCTACCCCAAACTGAACATATACCCACAATTACCGTCGTGGCGGAAACGCTAGACAGACATCTACGGAGCAGCCACCTACTCGCCCAAAGCGTCGCAGGAAAACCCCTACATCTATGGAAAAAAGCTCGCGAAGAAACGCCTTCGACAGTGAATTGACAAATCAGCCGTTCAACTGTCGATCCAACAAACTAGGTAAGCACAGTTGTTTAAATGCGTGTATACAAGGACCCGTTTAGAAATACTGAGTACGGAAACTGCTAGACAAAACAAGCGCATCCCTATTTAAATGAAAAACCGCTATAAGATCAAATCTAAACGTTACAAGCTTTGCATTTGTTACAATGTACCCCGTTCATGGAGTAAATTGTAACAGTGTCTGAGGTAAGTTGTATCATTGCTACAAATAAATGTCTTGTAATATTTCTGATGAAATAAAATATACAGAACAGCATTACAGAACAGTATTATTACTGGCTTTATTAAAAAAATCAAATAAAAAACATTAAGTAAAAAAGTAGACAAAATTGATCTTCTAATTAAAACAAAACTGATTTAAGAAAAATAAACAAATCTTGTGGATAAATAAAAACAAATAATAGATACATTCATTTAAAAAAAAAACAGCGCTTATTTGCAATTTTTAATGTTTTGACTGTCATTTAGTCTTTATCAGAATTGCAGTGGTGACACGTATAATTTGAAGTTATACACGGTGTGCATTCTTCGTGGGCATACTCCTTGCATTTACGGTACTGAATCCACCCTTCCCCTGGTTTACTGTTGTAACTATCGCAGCAAACAATACAAATGGTGTCGTCTTCGTCAGATGATTCTACTAGCACTTTCCTCTTTGCTTCTTTTAACTTATTTCTTGCTTCTACCGGCATTTTACCTATTTTTGAACGTTTTGTGGCAGCTTTACATTTTAAAGTGCTTAATTCAGGTGTATCAGTTAGAACCGCAGCTTTTCTTTTTTCCGAATTCTAGTTGTTTGTTTCTTAGGTGCAGCTTTGGGATCTGGTCTAACTGCTGCAGGAGAAAAGTGTGATGGTGACAAACTTAGCTTTGGAGAAAAATCAGGGCTCTGCGAAGTAGAAGGAACTTTGTTATCGTATGCAGATGTCAAATTTGTAAAATTAGGAATCAGGAACTAAAAAAGTAAAAGTAGTAAAAGTAAAAGCACATCATGAGGAGTAGTTAGTAAGTTCTTTTTAGGTTCTATTGGCACTAGTTGAAGAGTTTCAACAGAGAAATATGGCTGTTTATCTACTTGTTCTCTACTAGATCTTCAGGTGCGAGGGGCGATGGCCGATCAATAACACGATAAAAAATTGTCTTCACTAAATATATTTCTGTTAAAAGGATCTATACCAGTACATTGAACGCCTTTAGTAATATTTCTGGGTGTAAGAGCCAAAGGCAAAGCTTCTCGGGCCACTCCGGGTATGTCGTATATGGTCACTGATTTACCCGAATTATTTCGCATCCACAGACCTATTGAGTGGTTGCAGACGGTAGGAACAATGGGAAGGGAATGAAAGCAATACTACCCCACTGTCTTTGGCATATTTAACGGTCTTATAAGACGCGTGAAAGTCGTGGTTGTCTAATAATAGTAGGACTTGATTTTCTTGAGAGGGTTAAACATAAGAAACAAAGTGCTACATAAACGTGTAAAACTCCTCAACTGTCATCCAATTAGACCCATTGCCAGCATTAATGCACCCTGGAGGACCATCTTGGATGAAATGATCTTGGAACATGATTTCCTACAGCACTTACTGCAATGCACATTGTTACTAAGACTCCTCGCTCGCTAGAAAATATGCCTTCAATTTGTTGGGTTCCTTTTTCTGCTATAACGTTTCCTATTCTTTGTACAGTCGAAAAGCCAGTCTCATCTAAATTTCATATATCGGATATCGCAAAATTAAATCGGTCGCGCACATCAGCTAACTTGTCAAAAAAAGAACTAACGTTGAATTTATTGAAGTTTGTCGCCCTTCCAATACTAATTGCATCAGGAATAGAAAGCGTTGGATATTTTT